ATCAATGTAACTACAACAAAGCTTGAGCTAACTGAGCCCTGCTGTCTGTAAGAAACATATTGAGTATGGGAACAAAAACGTATAACATGAAAGTTTGATGGTTTTGTTGTTGAGTTTTGGGGAAAATAGCACCATAGAAGAAGAAAATAGTTGGAGCCTCCTGTAAAATAGTTGGCCTGAGACATTTGGGTGTTTAGTGCAGTTTGTGTGCTGTAGAGATTGCCAACAATAAAGGAACTTATCACAGCTGGTCATGGTATGGTACAGGTAAAGCGTGCTATGTAGATCTGGCCTGTCTTCCACCACACCACTATTTAAAAAGAAAAAAAAAAAGTAAAATCATGTACATAAAGTTGTTGAAAAGACAAAAATGTCTCTGGTTGTCTGTGAAGCTTTTGCTCTCATTAACATGTGTCTCTGTCTGTGTGTGTGTGTCAGCGTGAGGGTGCGTTAGGCGATGATGACTCTGCAGACATGGATGGAGAGAATGGGCGGGGCTTTGAAGAGTACGAGTGGGCGGGGCAGAAGAGGATCAGAGCTACAGCTTTGCTCGAGGGAGGCTTCAGAGGTACAGACACACACACGCACACCTGATCTCACACAACTCTGTGCTGGTTTTTGTTTCACATCAGTTTGTGACTGACTCGTCCAGTCGCAGCAGAGTTAGCTGTATGAGGTCACCCCGGATCCCTGTTTGTTCTCTCCTTCCTTATTCTCTGTCTGTCTCCTTCTTTGTTGCTCTGCTCATCCATCACTCTGTTGCTGTTCAGTGTGAGCAGTGTTAGTTCAGCGGGACCAGTGTTGAATGTGACCAGGGAGCTGTAATGGTGCCAGCGGTCTGGTGGCAGTTTAGGTTGGCTCGGGGGCGGCCCAGCTCAGCCTGGCTGGGCCCTACACAACCCCCTTAGCACAAGGAAGGAAAACACATTTAGCTGGGCAATTGACCCGCTGGTCTTGACTGTGTGTGTGTGTGTCTATATGTGCGCACGCCCAGCAATGCAATTATAGAAGTGGATGGGAGAGCTGGTCACTGGGGAGCATGGCTGCTCTGTGACACAAACACACCTGCAGAGCTTCCACTCAGCTCAGGTCTTCTCTTCAGACTTGTTGTTATGTTTAGCTATTATCATATCAATAATATCTTCTCTCCACCACTTTCATTTTATTAAGCAAGGTAGATAACGTACTTCTATGCTAGGATTCAGCTCCTAGGCCACTTACAGGAGAAAGAGCTGAGCTATTTAGATTTTATAATGTATGCAAATCAGGCTGCAACTAATGATTCCAGTTTTGATTTAGATGACAAAAGTTGTGCTGATGCGCATAGTCAGTGTTGGACCTCACTAACACTCTTGTGACTGAATGGGAGCAAATCCCTGCAGACGGGTTCCGAACTCTTATGTTAAGTATTCCCAGGAGGGTGGAGGCTGTTAGAGCATGTTTGGGTTTCTGTGGCTGTATAATATATATATATATATACAACAGAAGAAACAGAATGTTTGAGAGTTGAAAACATGAAAATAACATAGAATTTTTGCTTGATAGATATCTAGAATGATGGAAAATTATTCATTTTGTTTCAGCAAAGTAATGCAGCAGAAAGAGGTGTAGCTGCCTTAATGTAATACTTAAAGTTGGTCACACTGCTTTTGAAATCATGAGACGAACAGCATAACACAGTTTGCTCAGTCTTTACGTGCCTTTGCTAGAACAAGTCTCTAAACAAAACACTTTCTTGCCGTTGCCCTAAGTGTTGGAATACATGCAGTTTGATGATTAAAACTGTGCAGTGCTCCACGATGGCCTCCCATTGTGGCCTCACTTGTGTCTGGGTGTAAAACGCGGAGAGAAAGAAGGATGGAAGCAGACCATCAAGATGTGCGCAGGTGGAGGTAAAGAGTTGCTGTCATCTCTGAGAGGCTCTTCCAAACCCTGCCTCTGCTTTCATCTGCCTCTTCCTGCTCGCCTCCTCTCTCCCTGTTCGATCCGTTGTTAAACACACACATGCTGAGCCTCACCTGCCTCCCTCTCTCCCCTCCCTACCCCCCTCCAAGCCAGAGAGAGAGGAGACAAGACAGATCAATGTTGAAATCCCAACTAAACCGCGCCAAAGAGCAGCTCGTGGGGTGGGAGGTGGCTTCCCCACCCGTCCATCCATCTCCCACAATGCGCCTTCCATCCGCCCGTCTCTCTTTCACGTCGTTAAACGAGCGGACACAGGACCCTTCTGCCACGCTCTAATAGGGCACCTTGTGATGTGACGCAGATAAGTGAGGTGGCCTGGGGAGAGCGACTTGAAACGTGCACACACACACACACACTCGGCAGAAGGCTCAGAAGGTGGATTTTGTCTTGAAAGCTCCTCAGTGGTTCTAACACTCGCCGCTGAATCCAGCAGGCTCCTGAGAGCCGGCTAGACGGATATAGAGATGTTGCGGGGGGCCTCCTCAGCTGGCAGGATGAAGAGAGGGCCTATCCCTCTGTGAAGTGCCACCATCCTTGCCTCTCTTTGAGAGTGCAAGGAAGAAAGGCACAGGGAAAGAGGCTCTTTCAAGGGGGAGGAGAGAGGGGGAGGTAGGGAGAAAGGGAGGAAAAAATCGAACAAGATCAGTTTATGATTCAACTCTGTGTGAAGGAAGACTTCCCTGTGTCTCGCACCGGCTTAGCCAGGTTGAAAGGACCCACAGCACAGACAGAGAGCTTTCTTTATCTGTCTTAGTGGACTGTCTGTCTGTCGAAGTCTGTTTTATGAGCTGGAGAGCAACTGGATTGTACTTCTTAACTTTGCAGGAGACATTAAGTCTGTGTTTAAGGAAAATAAATGGTTTATTTTATATATATAGATAAGTTTTCATCATAATTTCATTAAAAATACTTTTATATTAGTGCCACTGTGAGACCTAATTTTGGTACTGATAATAAAATTATAGTTTTTATGATTTTGTCTTCGATTTAAATCAGGAACTCTCTGATCAAAAAAAATAAGTCAACACTTTAAGTGTCCATACAAAGTTGCCAACAGTCCAACACCTACAAGTATAAAGTTTAAAATGATATGCAACTATCAAGTTCTGTCATTCTTGAATGTCTGTCTTTGTCTATGCTAACTAAACAATTAATCAGTTAATCCCACAGTTATAAAAATCTCAGCTATTGACTAGTTGAGTACAGTATTTCCAATAGGAATGATGGCCTAAACTATGAAGTTATGTACAACTTTTATCAATAAGCTTTAACCAATAGCACCGCTATATAGTAATTAAACAGTAAGTTTGTAATGCGGCCTTATTTCCAGGTTTTTGCTTGATTATTTAAAGGTTACCCACAGACAGGTGGAAAGGCAGACAGGGAGGCAGACAGACAGATCCTGAGGTTTGATATCAGGCCGTCCTGAGAGACGGAGGAGGAGAAGAGGGGGATTATTGCAGGTTGAGATGGCCCAGAGGGATTGAGAAGAGGAGACGTCTGTGCTTTGTAAATGGACTTCAAAGATGGCCGTCTCATGTCTTTGTGTCTGTGTCCCTTTCCCCATCTTTCTTTCTGACCTGTAAATGGCAGAAAGATAGTGCGATGACCTTTGACACCCCTCCCCTCTGCTTCTTAGAGAGTCCCGATAATTGCTATGGTAACAGGATGTCGCAGAGGTCGGTCGATTGGTTGATCCGGGCTGTCAGTCAGTCTCTTCAGATCTGTTCTTGTAGTGCTGTTGTGGTGACATGTATGTAGATGGAGTGTCTCCTGCGTTGCTGTCAGGAAACATGTTAACCTGGAGGATAAAATGTGTAGTTAGTGATGTTAAGAGTCAACGATATGCAGGAGATGGTTATGATAATTAGACAGACCAGTGTGGCTCTGTGGGAGTCCCTGTGTGTGTGTGTGTATTGATCATGCCTATCCAGCAGAAAAGAGGGGAAACAGGTCATCGAGCAGAACTGGTACAGGAGAGAGAAAATAAGTGATACACGAGTAAAGAGAAAAATGGAGCGATAAAAGGTGGAGGGAGAGATGTAAAGAAGCAGACTGTCGAGAAAAGAGCGTAAAGATAGGTAGGGGCAATGTGAAAGAATAAAGGTAAGAAAGAGGGAGTGATGACACCAAAAAGGAGGGAAAAGGAGGTGAGGAAAGGAAGAGAGGTGAAGGGGAAAAAAGTGGGAGGGGGCGTCGGTGCATAATGTGAGTGAAAGGCAGTTAGAGTGGGGCTGACCTTTCCCTGGCCAGATTAGATTGGCCTGCCAAGACTGCTTAGAGGGACAGATAGAAGCACTAGGAACACACACACACACACACACATATACTCACACACACACACACACACACAGGCCACACATATACTCACAGTTAACACACCTAAGACATGTACAGTGTGTACATGCACAAATTAGGCCATGTGAAATCTAGTTTTGAAGTGGACATGCATGTGCAACAATAAGAAAGTACAGCAACATGTTTTATTGTATATTAGACGCTTAACTGATAGTTCTATTCAGGAGAGCTAAATTAGGTGCGTCCACAAATAAGGAATCAGTGCTGTTCTGTTCTCTTACAAGTACCTTCAGAGTAAGATCAAAGACATTCTTTATAGATTAGCCATTTTTACATTGTAATAATCTTGTTGGTCTTCAAGGGTTTAGGTCTCTCTCTCGTTCTGGATCAGGTTTTAATTGCTGTATTTTCTGTATGTCTTCTGGCTGTCCTTGGGTCCGTTTTGGATCAAGGTTTCCCACAGGTCCTTGGGCTTCATCAAGTCCTCCGAGCCCACATGTTCCACTTCTTGTAACCAGTTGTTGTGGCAAACTAGCCACAAGATCAATAGTTTGATGAGTTGATTAGATCATGCCCCGACCACCACGGCCTCCACCACTCCAACACACACTACAGCCCTCCTGCACACATTAGCGCATTAGTGGTTTGTGTTGCACTCTGATCTAGTCGGTCACCCATTCACAGCTGATGGATGAGAATCTCGGTTCCTACCTTCCCTGGCTTGGCTGACCCTGTGGCATTGTGGGTAAAATGCTTCTGTCATAGGAATAGAAGGACAAATGAGAACCATTTGTCTTGCCTCCCTTATAAACTGAACTGTGCACTCAAACTCAAACTGTCACTCTGTGTGTCACTTGTCAGCGCAGGGTGGTAACTAAGGTGTTTGATGGTAAATGGGTAGTCCAGACTTTTCACCATGTCAGTACTTTGGCTGCATAATGTAACACGTGCTCTGCTCACCTCCTGCCATGCCCTGAAAAACTATAACCCCAGTAGCTGAGCAGAGCCAGCAGGCTGCTAGATTTACACTGCGTGGCCATTGTTCCCATATGTTCCCCTCTGCCGCCGAGACCAAATAAAAGTTAAAAGGTCCTTTTTATTTGATCACTAAAAACCATGGGCCTGTTGTAAAGCGGCTTAGCATTGGTGGTGCGTTTTATCACAGCGGCTTTCAGTCGTTCCATGCTCCCATTCTCTCTCCTCCCTCCTCATATTTTTTTTTATTTTTGTCTAGAGTAAGAGTGAAATGAATTACAGAGTCAGGTGGGAAGAGAGGCGACGGCAAATGTTTAAATCCCAGAAGATCCTCGGAGACGAGGCCTAGCGGCTGATTTGCACTTTGACAAAGACACCATAGTGCAGTGAGACGCTGCAGTGCACTGAGACTGTTACAGGAAGTCAAGTATCGAGACTCACACACACATGCTGGGAGAGGAGGGTTAAATAAGATGGCTGTCAACTGTCTAGCTTGTATCTGGTCTTGCACACACACACACACACTCTCATCACATACACACAGTCCAGCTGAGAGCTTGTAGAAATTGGGATAGGTGTAAATAAGATGGCTGTCAGGCCTGTCACAGGTAGACACACAGACTCCTTCAGAGTCACATCTTAAGTGAAACATGCACACACACACACACGGTTACCTACCTTCAAGTGCTCGGATAGTCAGGGTGTAAGTGACATACACACTTGAACACTCCTGCACACATACACGCAGACACACACACCTTACCTACCTTTGCGTGGTAGATAGACGTGGTGTAAGTGACAGTTAGACAGACTCACACAGTGGCACGTACACGCACACACACACACCTTCAAGGGGTTGGAGAGACGGGCCCTAAGTGACAGAGGGACAGACAGTCTCAAGCAAACACTGAAGAGAAGCCTCTAAGTGACGGACACACACACACAGCCGGCTCTGTGGCTAAGTGGAGCTGAAGGGAGCAGTCAGGCAGCGGTAAGGGTTTGTCTGAGCGTTCATCACTGGGTTTATAGAAGTGCCACTCACACACACACACACACATGCATACATACACACACTCCCACTCTCCCTCTCTTTCTCTTCCTCAAAGATTGATGGGTGAGGTGTCAGTCTTCATCAGTTCGTCCCACGTCTAAAAGCTGTTTCTCTCTTCACCTTCTTCTTTCTGACCAAATCTTCACCTCGTCTTCCTCCATCTGCAAGTCCTTAATTGGTCGGGGAAAAGTAAAGTTTTAAAAGAGTTCAGGTTCAAGTTTGTCTAAAAAAAAAAAAGTTACCTGTTGACCAAAACTGTGTTTTGGAAAAGTAGGATTAGAAAATTTTATGTAAAAAAAGTTTCAGTGTGGGTTCCAAATATCACTGTCCTGATCCCAAGAGCATGTTTTTAAATAATTCAGAGCACTGGACAATGAGGAAATTTTATTTAATTTTTGTTTCTATTATTTTTGCAGGAACAGGTTTTGCCACGTGTAGCATCAAGGAGAGCGCGGCAGACAGCGACGCTGACCTAGACGTGGATGGAGACGACACCTTGGAGTACGGCAAGGCCCAGTACACTGAGGCCGATATCATCCCCTGCTCCGGAGCTGGAGAGGACCAAGGAGAGGCCAGGGAGAGGGAGGCGCTACGGGGAGCCGTGCTCAAGTATGAAGCCTTATGTACTGCACAGCAGAACATTAACTACTGTAAGCTAAATGGAATGCACCCATACAGCTCTGTTAATACTAACATTTGTGTCTCTGTGTTGCAGCGGTGGGATGCCTTCTAACAGAATAACGCCTGAATTCTCCAAATGGGTCAATGATGGTACGTTTTTCCCACCTGATCTACTGTATAGGCAGAAAAAAACACCACTATATAGTCAAATATAATTAAAGGTATAGCGTGCAAAATACACAAACCAATGACTTTAGTCATTTGCTCACAAACAGATCATTTGCCAAGAATAATGTGTTGCACAATATCTTAATTTTAGCGGTAATTATTGCATCTAGAAAGTCACCACCCTCATTAATCATGTTACCTGTGTTTACAGAGATGCCTTCGACGAGCAACGGAGAAAGCAGCAAGACAGATCCCAGCACTCCTTCATCATCCTCCTCTTCCTCCTGCGCACCGCGCACCTGTAAAAACAGTGAGATTGAAAAGTAGGTTCCATATACATGGACACACACACATGTCATGATCTAGTTGTAAAAGGGCCGAC